CTTTGGCCTAGAAGTTATGGATTCTGGTTGTTCTGGGAGTGTTCATTGTGAGGTGTCTCTAAGAAGGTGACCAGTGGATTCTTTCTATTTTTACTCTGCCCTCTAGTTTTAAGATTTCTGCAGGGTCTTCACTTATGATTTTTTAAAGTATGGTAACCAAGTTTTTTGTGGGAGTTTTTCAAATAGTGATTTTCAAGTAGTCTAATTCTTAGATTCTCTCTCCTTGACCTTTTTCCAGGTCTTTTGTTTTTTATATTATATTACTTATATTTTTTTTTCTCCATCTTTTGATTTTGTTTCAGTATTTCTTGTTGTCTCATTGAGTTGTTTTCTGTTTGACCCATTCTGAATTTTAGGGTAAGATTTCTTGATGTTTATGTTAAAGTATTAATTGTTCTTGCCATTCTTTCTTCTCTAGCCATTCCATTTTATATGTCTTATTTAATTTCTTCCAGATACACTTGTGGTTCTTGTGGGCAGGGGATTTTTTTTTTTTAGTCTGAGGCTCTATTTGGACTTGCTTACTCTTGAACATCTCTTGGTCCAAAGTATTTTTTCATTTCCTTTGACATTTTCTTCAGTTTACTTATATCACCAGCATCCTTGTCTGTACTGGGAGCTTCTGCTTGGGTCATACTCTACTGCTGTTCTCCTGGATGATGTGGGCAGGCCCTGTTTGATTCTGAGGGTGGTAGCTGAGACTAGACCCCACTTTCTGCAGGAATTGTTTGGCCTTGTCTGCTGCTGCAGGGCAGACTCAGGTTGGGTGGATGCTGGGTTTGGCTAGGGCTGCCTGGAGGCTGCTGCTTGGGGCTTTTTTCCTAGTCCAGAACTTCCTTGCTGCTAGAAGCTTTGCCATCTGAACCTGGGAAAGAAGATTTAGATTTTATTACATTGAATGATCCTTGCCATTTTGGTTAGGATTTTATTGTTTTAAAGAAGTGACAGAACATTTGGTAACAAGTTCCAAATTAGACATTATTTTAAAAAAAAAAGGCCAGGTTTGTCATCAGTTTAAAAATTGGTATTTGCTGTTGTACAAAGGGGTCATGGGTTGCTTTAGTCCAAAGTTGCCAAATTTTGAGTGTCATTTATTACATTTATATTGACCTTTGTTTTACTTTAATACATTATGATTTCTTTTTTTATTGGGCTTGTGATTTTGTTGGTTTAGAGAACTCTAGGGGCAGAAACTCCCCTCTGCCAGTGCAGGTTAGCAACTGCTCTGCAACTTGGTCTTAAAAAATTGCATGAGAAATAGTGTCTTGGCGAGTGCCATGTAAGTGTTAGAGGCAGTGCTTATACCTGTCTCTTCCTGTCTCTAAGGCTGGCTCTTGGAGGTTCTGTGAGCTACCCTAACAACTGTAGATCCTGTCTTAATTTACCATGTTTTCTGTCTTTATGGAGAAAAAGCAGTTCATAGGAAACCACCGTGATTAATCAGAGGTTTCAGTATTTTTTTAATTCCAACACATCAGTTCATCTGCTGTTTGGGGGAGAAAAAAGTTCATTCTGCTTGAAACTTAAAGTACACACACAATATATGTAAATAGCTTGATTTAAAATGTGCTCTGCCACTAATCCACGTTGTTGTTGTTCAGTCATTTTTAATTGTTTCTGGCTCTTCATGACTACATTGGGGTTTTCTTGGCAAAGGTAGTGGAGTGGTTTGCCATTTCCTTCTCCAACTCATTTTACAGATGAAGAAACTGAGGCAAACAGGATTGAGTGACTTGCCCAGGATCACACAGCTAGTGTCTGAAGCTCGATTTAAACTCAGGTCTTTCAGATTCCAGGCTTGCCCCTCTATCTGCTGTGCCACCTAGCTGCCCTACCTCGAATGTAATTAGCTAGGAATAGGCATGAGGATTGTAACATTAGCAATTTGGAATATACCTCTTACATTTTCTACTTGCCTTTAATTTTTTTCTGTGTTAGAATTTATTGTTCAATTTTGAGTCAGTTTTATTTTCTGAACCTATATTTGATATTATGGGGTTAGATAAGATTCAGTCAAATGAGAAAACATTTATTAAGTGCCTGCTATGTGCCAGGCACTGTGCTAAGTGTCAGAGTACAAAAAAAGGCAAAAGACAGATCTCCTCAAGGAGCTTACAATCTAATGAGGGAGACAACATGCAAACAAATGTAAAGAAAGCACGCTATATACAGGATAAATAGGAAATGGTTAAAAGAGGGCACTGGAATTAAGAAGGATTGGAGAAGGCTTCCTGTAAAAGATGAGATTTTAGTTGAAACTTAAAGGAAACCAGGGAGGTCTGTAGTAGAATTAAAGGAGGGAGAGCATTCCAGGCGTACAGGACAGATACAGAAAATGTCTGGAGTTGTGAGATGGAGTGTCTTGTTTGTGGAACAGTCAGGAAGTTAGTGTCTCTGGATTGAGGAGTACATGTTAAGGGAGTAAGGTATAAGAAGACTGGAAAGGTAGCAAGGGGCAAGGTTATGAAGAACTTTGAATGCCAAATAGATCATTTTTGTATTTGATCCTGAAGGCAATATGAGCCACCAGAGTTTATAGTGTCATGATCAGATCTGCGTTCTAGGAAAATTATTTTAGTGGCTGAATAGAGAATGGATTAGAGTGGGAAAGACTTGAGGTAGGCCAATTACAATAATCCAGGCATGAGGTGATGAGACCCTACACTAGGATGGTGTCAGTGTCAGAGGAGAGAAGGGGACATATTTGAGAAATGTTGCAAAGGTAAAATCAGTAGTCCTTGGCAACAACTTAAATATGGATTATGTGTATAAGAGAAAGATAGAGATTCCTAGCTTGTGAGCCTGAGGGACTGGGAGGATGGTGTTGCCCTCTACATATTGAATTTAAGATGTCTACTGGACATACAGTTTAAGGTGTCTGAAAGGCAGTTGGAGATGCGAGATTGAAGGTCAACAGACAGACTGGAGCAGGATAGTTAGATTTGAGAATCAGCATAGAGATGGTAATTAAGTCCAGGAGAACGGATGAGAAAAGCAATGGCTTTGGTAGATTTGAGCACAATGTTTCAGCAAAATAACCCTTGGAGTTTATGTAGAAAGAAGCATGATTCGTCTCTGTCACTTGGAGCATCTGAAGAAAGGTTCAAAAGCAATGAACCTTCTAGAGTGTGGGAGGTAATATTCTGAGAAAGTCCCCAAGGTTATTTCCTAATCGGCTGTTGGCATGACTGGGGAGTATGTGCCTTTTAATTCAATTTAACAAATATTTATTGAGCCTCTTCTATGCTAGAGGCACTGAGCCAAGCATTGAGGGGGATACATGAAATCTAAGATATCCTCCCTGGTTCCAAGGAGCTTACCATCTTCTAAGATGAAAGGGAGGAGATAAGGACTGTGAAGTAAAATGTGATGAAGGTATGAGGGGAACAAAGGAAATATAATGAGAATTGAAAGAAGAGAAGGATCATTTCTAGCTTGGGGGGGCACAGACAGGGAAGGGAAAAGGCAGGATAGATTAGGATAGTTCAAGATTGAAACATGGAAGCACTGTGGTCATAATAAGAATTGCTAAAATGTAACTTCATTGCCTTGGTGGGAGACTGTGGAATATTGAATATACTGTCAGATGTAGACATTTTGGTTGGTCTTAGAAAATTATTTCTTTTTGGATCTTTGTTAAAAGAAAAAAACTCACTGGATCAGTGGGTGGGTGAGATAGATTTGGGAATATTATATAAAAAAAGAGTCATCAATAAAGAGTTGGGGGAAATCACTAGCATTAAAAAAGTGGTAGCACATTGGTGTTTGAGAGATGGCTTGGAGTTCAACTGACAAAGATGCTGAGATATGTCATTTTGAATTTAGAGAGTGGCATGGCAGCTGTGGGAAATAAACATTTATTTGAGGGATGATTTAAAGCCTGATTTGGCTGGAGTGGAGTTATATGAAAGATAGAGCTAGACAGTTAAATCATCAGGGTCTTAAATGCTAAGCTAAGGAGTTTGACTTTATTTTTATGAATGAGAAGTGTCTGTATAGGTTATTAATGTTAAGGACAAAGCCACCTGATTGGCATAATCTGGTATTTTGATTAATACTAATTACATTAATGACTCCAGGAAGAAACTGAGCTTTATTTTAGACTTATTAGTGTTACAATTGAAACCAAGGTAAACTGGGGCACAAAGATTTGAGCATGATCGATTTATTGACAAAACATGAATTTTCCAATAAACAGCGCCCTCAGCCCCCTCAGAAAAGCTAAGACCCTGAATGAGGGGGACAACACTATTTATAGACAATAGGAAGAGCATCCAGAATAGAAGGCAGCATTATAGGTAGAAAAACAATATTATTGGCCACAAAGTCTATAGCGTCATAGGTGGAGGAACAATATGATTGGCTGTAAATTGGGAATGAGGGGCTAGCAACAACCCCTCCTTCCATTCTGTCGCTAAGAACAATTTAGCACTAGTGGACCAGGCTTCCTTGGATATCAGACTAGACTCCCTGGCATCTAGCTGCACCCTTCAAAGATAACAAATTTCCTTGAAGAAAGAATAGATCAGTGATTAGCAGGGGAGTTGAATTTCTAAACTTAACTGAGAGACAATGAGCAATTTATAGGAAAGTTGAATTTCCATAGTCAACTCTGAGACAAATGAAACATGACTTAGGCAGTTACAAAAATGTTAGCAATGATGTAGAATGAAATCAATAACAACATAGAATAATTTGATTTTCCCAGTTTTCATTAGATACCTGTATCTATTAGGTTTTCATTTCTGATTATAGAATCATAGATTTAGAACTCTTTCACTTTATAGATGAGGAAACTGAGGAAACAGAGAGGATAAGTGACCATCATAAGGGAGTGACAGGTAAGCAAAAGGCAGAGCTGGGATTCATACTCAGGTTTCTAACTTAAGATCCAGCACCCTTTCCACTAGGATTGGAGTGTCATTTTGTCACTTTGATTCCAAGATGACCATTTGTGTTTGGATGACAAAATAGCTGATTTTTTTTTCTTCCTATTTTAGACCTTGAAGCGCCAAAGTATTCTGGCACTTTCCTTCTTTAACAGCATCTTAGCTCATGGTGATCTTCGAAACAACAAACTTAATCAACTGTCTGTCAACCTGTGGAATCTAGCCCAGAGGCATGGCTGTGCAGATACCAGGACCATGGTAAGGGTGGCATAGGAAACAACAGCCTTCCTTTTAAACCACAAGTGGCTTTACCATATGTAAGGGGATATCACAGAGCACTCTCCAGGCAAGGAAGGCTTAATAAAAAACTTAGAAGGTCCTTAGTAGAACCATCCAATATGAGAGGTGATGATAAATATCTGACAGCTCCCCAGCCTTATCTTTTAGAAAGGTCACAAGCACATATTTTTGTGAGGTCACTTTCTTTGTAATCAGAACAGTTACAGTTGAAAAGTTTAATAATTTTGGAAGAAAATGTTACATAGAAAGCAACATCTAACTTCTGTAAAGCATAATGTATCTATCTTGAGTGTACCCATATCTCATCTAACTCATATATAGAGTTTTATTTAAAGGCTTTCTTTCCTCCTTCCTTCAGAGTTCTTATCTGTTGTTTTTTTTTTTTTGTTTGATTTTTATTTTTTAATTTTTTTTGCTAAGAAGTTGGCTTCTGGGCAAGAATATGTAAACTTACTCAGCTGATTTAGCAAGTACCTTAGGGGAGTTGGCCCTGAGAATTATGAAACAGAAGGAAATATTTCTTTATTTTTCCTTTTAGGTAAAAACTCTGGAATATATCAAGAAAAGAAGTAAACAACCAGAAATGAGTCATTTGTCAGAACTGGCCCTCAGGCTCCCACTGCAAACCAGGACCTAACCAATACAGCCTTTTTCCTGAGCCCTGAGCCCAGGATTCTGTAGCTAAATCAGGAAATAGATACTTTTCCCTAGACTTTCATTGGAATTTAGTCTTCTTTCATTTTAAAAATCCCTTAACCTACAATAGATTGGCTTTTATTTTGGCATTGGTTTTAAGTATTCTGACAATGAAAAGAGAAATGTTAAAATCAGATTTCATTATATCATCAATTCACATCTGCTAGTAAAGGGCATCTTAGTTTCTTTTTGCAAATAACTTTTTAGATCTCAGCAAGCAGCCTTCTAATAAGTCTGCAGGTCCTCTAAGAAGAAAAAATTAGTGCACGTAAATGTAAAGAGCCTCCTAACACCTTTTCTTTTTTAAAGTTAATCCTAAAATCCTATTTGGAAAGCCAGTATGGGTTAGTCCCGAAGATGGAGTTGGAAAGAATTGGGTTAAAATTATGCTTCAGGTGCTTACTACTCATGTGATAGTACCAAATTACTTAACCTCTCAGAGCCACAGTTTCTTAATCAGTACTATTACCAACTTCACAGGATTTGTGAGATTAAAATGAGAAAATGTATATAAAAGGCTTTGCAAACTTATATCTGTTTAAATTGTCTGTTATTATTTAAAAAGTCACTCCAGTATACTTATACCCATTCTCAATTTTTTGATTTTATGAAAAATTAATTTCCATTAAAGAGCTTTCTAGGATTTTTTAGAAGGCTAATAAGTAGATTTAAAAAATACTTCCTTTGATTGTAATTTTCCACCCTAAAATCTGTGGAGAACTTTGTAGGTAGGGTTTGAGGGGATTCTCTTTTTCCCTTGCACTAGATATGGCATCTAGCATCAGAACAACTTGTGCAGGAAAACACTCCATCCAGCAGTTGAATAGTCAGTTTAGAAGAGTTTAAGTCAAAGTCAAAGAAGCAAAAACACATTTGACAGACATAGCTACGGAGAAGCTTTAGGAGTGGAATCTCTCAAAATGAAAAGAGAGCCAGCTGTGGATTCAAGAGAAAGCTAGCCTTGGCAATAAGAAATTGAGCTACAGGGAAAAGATCCTGGAAGCCCAGTTGAGCAACCCATGAAGTGCCCAGAAAGCTTTGTGAGGACTCGGTCCTAGAGTTAAGTGACTCTGGCCTTATGTCTAAATATGTCCCTCTTTACCATGGTTTGTGCCTGCCCTTCCATGGTTGTATTTCTGGTTAACCATGTCCCAGGTTTATGTAGGGGCAAGAGGACAATATTTTGTAGCTATGCCATCTCAGTAAATGTCTTGCAAAGAGCCATTTCTCTGTTGGTGGATTAAGGAAAGCACATAAGTTGGGGCTCATGAGCTACAGTTGCAAGAATTGGTACCCAAAAGTACCCTTAGAACCTCAAGGTAGAAACTTTATGTGGGAGTAGTCCAGAGCCAGTGCTATGTGCATGTATTCTGTTGGTTATAATAAAGGGAGTAGTAAATTTAGTTCGATATGGAGAGGCTGGAGACTTGAGTTTAAACACAACTTTGCAATTTATTACCTGTGTGACTTTGGGCCTAAATTTCTTCATGTGTGAAATGACTAGACTTCATGTTCCTAAATATAGTGTGTTCCAAAAGTCATAGTGCTATTCAGGCTTAAAATGGCACTAAGATCCCAGGTTACCCTGTATAATTTAGAGGAACAACTGACAAATTTTATAATTTTTCCTTACCTGCTTCATAAATTTTCTTGGAGAATGATTTTCTTTCATTGTGACAATGTGAGCAAAACTAAGGTCAGGTGATTCTTGAAACCTGTGTGCCTTTGTTTCTCAAACCCTTTACCAGATAAATGAGTCATTCTCTGAAACCACAGTTAAAAGTTGGCGTTAGGAGTATAAGTGTGCTTTAATGATAATCCAAAGACTGTTTTACAGGAGACTAACATGAAAATAATGGATAAACTGAGTATAACCAGTTATTCCATTCTTAACCAAAGGAGTTTAGGGATAAAGACTAGACTTTTGTCATATTGGTATAAGGAGTTCCCAGATGATGAAACTCTCTACCAATGCATATATAGTCTCAAGAGAATTGTTTATAGCACTGAGAGTTTAAATGACTTGCCCAGGGTCAGAGCTAAGGCATAATCTACATATTCCTGCCTCTGCTGCAACCTGCTGCCTCTCTTCAGAAGACAAAATGGGATCTGAAGGTTTTGGGAGTTCTATGTTGTTATTTACATATAAACTGTATTTACCAAAAGTTTTTGAAAATAAAGTTCATCATAAAAATGGGGACAACTCTTTGAAGGTTGGGGAAACTGAGCAACATGGAAGTATTAGATGCCAGTAGGTGTCTGCTACTGGCATCTACCTTCCCTAACACGGAGAGTAGCTAAATAGTGACTTTACAATCATCCCTGGTGGCACAACGGATAAAGCGCCAGCCCTAGAGTCAAGAGGACCTGAGTTCAAATCTGGCCTCAGATACCTACTAGCTCTGTGTCCCTGGGCAAGTCACTTCACCCTATTTGCCTGTTTCCTCATCTGTAAAATGAGCTGGAGAGAGAAATGGCAAACCACTCCAGTATCTTTGCCAAGAAAACTCCAAGTGGGGCCATGGAGAGTCAGACATAACTGAAAGGACTCAACAACAAAGGAAGAGAAGAAAAATGCTAAGATTATTTTTACATAAAAGCTATCCCCAAACCATCATCACTTTATATGCTGCTTAAACATCAAAAGTAATTACATTACTTTTATATGTCTGCTCAGTAATATTTTAAAAAACCTAGTTAGATCTTGCTGGTCACGAAGATCAGCTGGGGAGGAAAATCATTATGTGTATGTACAATATTCACTTCCCACAAGCTGTACTTCTTGGACTAGACTTCACTATCATCATGCTCCCAGGAAACTCACCATCCTGCAAGACTGAGTCAGCTTTGAGAATCTCACCTCAGCAGTGTCCCGTGCTGCTCTGACTAGAGGGTAGAGCAAAGAACTCTCCCCAAAGCCTCCATTTAAAGAGGACTCAGAACAGCCAACTTTCACTTTCCACCAGCCACACTCCTTGGAAAGGACTCTACTATGTCCTGCCCCCCTAACCTTCCCCTCATACCCTCTTTTTCAGCTTTCTTTGTGTGTAAGCTCTTTTAGATGTAAGCTCTTTGAGGGTAAGGACTTCCTTTTTCGTATTTTAGTTTCTAGAGTTTAGCACAGTACCTAGCAGGCACATAACTGGCTCTTTATAAATGTTTCTTCATTTCTGTAGTTAGATCTTGCTACTCACAGTTGGGAAGGCGTACAATAAAATATTTGTCCCTTGAGAGACTGTAAATTAATAAAACTACTTTGTAGCCTTCGAAAAGCAGGTATTATATATAATACACATAAATCTAATCACTTTTCACAGCTGTGTATATCAAGGATTGTTGTACATTATGAAGAAATATTTACAAAGGACCTTACATACAGCAAAGGTGGGGAAATCTACTTTTCATATGGTCTGCTCTGCTGATAATCCAGCAGATCTCTGGCCATCAATGATCTTATCCTACAGTTACAATTGCCATTTTGCTTAGTTCAAAAGTAAATCTGGAAAATAACAGGGTTATCTTTTCTGCTCACCCTTCTGAGGGTGTAAAGTTAGTATAGTCTGAAAAGTCAGAGAAAGCAAAAGCTAAACACTGTGCAGAGGAGGCCTCTCATTTGAGAAAGGAACTCAGTCAATTATTAGCTAATGTTGTAACATCTAGCCACCTCAAAAAGATTCTTGACATGTAATATTTGTAAGGCGTAAGAATTTTCTTAGTGAATCTAGATCTGAAAGCAACAAGGATTTTTAGCTATATCGAAGAAATAGCTCTGGGTGGGTGGGATTATGATAAGAGGGCAAGAGGGGCTTAACTTTTCCCACCTGCTGCACCAGAGAACAGGGAAAAAAAAAAACCTGACTAATAAGGAGTTGGGACACAAGAAAAGTTGAAAGATGGTAAGGAAGCACATAGCTAACCTTAATGAGTTTGTCACCGAGCCCAGAGGCTCCTGAAAAAGCCCACTATGTGGGGCAGCTAGGTGGCAGAGTGGATACAGCACTGGCCCTGGATTCAGGACCCAAGTTCAAATCCAGCCTCAGACACGTAACACTTGATAGCTGTGTGACCCTGAACAAGTCCCTTAACTCCATTGCCTAACCAAAAAAAAAAAAAAAAAAAAAAACCCAGAATATGTGATTACTGACTACTCGCCAGTTATTTCTGAAGGACCAAAAACAAACATGAATGAGAGACAAAAGATTTGAGATGGGCAAATGTTCTGATTTTCAAAAATGAAAAGAATGAAGCCTAAAAATGTAGGCTAGTGAACTTTATTTTATATCCTTGCAAAATCCTAGAATGTATTAAAGTGATGGTTAGCAAACTTCACCTATAAGCAGCGACCATAAAGATTCATGGCTTGGGTCAAGGAGAAGATATTGCAAGCAGCCAGAAGGAAACAATTCAAGTATTGTGGAAACACAATCAGGATAACACAATATTTAGCAGCTTCTACATTAAGGGTCCAGAGGGTATGGAGTATGATATTCTGGAGGGCAAAGGAATTAGGACTACAACCTAGAATCACCTACCCAGCAAAACTGAGTATAATGCTTCAGGGTAAAAAATAGTCATTCAATGAAATAAAGGACTTTCAAGCATGGAAAAGACCAGAGCTGAATAGAAAATTTGACCTTCAAATACAAGACTCAAGTGAAACATGGAAGAGGCAAACAGGAAAGAGAAATCATAAGAGACTTATTAAGGTTGAACTGTTTACATTCCTGAATGGAAAGATATTTGTAACTCAGGAGTCCTTTGTCAGTATTTAGGGTAGTGGGAGGGAAAAAATTGTATGTTTGTATAGATAGATAGATAGAGGACACAGGGTGAGTTGAAGATGAAGGGGTGATATCTGGAGAATAAAATTAAGGGGTGGGAGAAGATTATACTGGGAGAAGGAGAAAGGGAGAAGTAGAATGAGGTAAAATATCTCACGTGAAACAGACAAGGCTTTTACAGTGGAGGGGAAATGGAGTGAGAGGGAATGAGTGAATCTTATTCTCATAGAATTTGGCTTAAGGAAGGAATAACATACACAATGGGGTATGGAAATCTATCTTACTCTACAGGAAAATAAGGGGGGGAAGAGGACAAGAGAGCAGGGGGTTGATAGAGGGGAGGGCAGATTGAGGGAGACGATAATCAAAAGCAAACACTTCTGAGGAGGGACAGGGTCAAAAGAGAGAATAGAATAAATGGGGGGAAGGATAGGATGAAGGGAAATATACTTAGTTTTTCACAACAGGACTACTAAGGAAGTGTTTTGCATGACTACACATTTATAACCTGTATTGAGATGCTTGCCTTTTCAATGAGGGTGGGTGGGGAGGGAGGAAGGGAGAAAATTTGTAACCCAAAGTTTTAAAAACACATGTTAAGAATAAAAAAAAAATTTTTTTAAATAAAAAAATGAGCAAAAACAAAACAAAAAACCATCGTTCCCAAAGTGACCAGTTTTGTGTTTGTAAACTTCTGCTTTCTTCTGTGTATTTTATGTGCTTCTTCGATATTTTCTTTCTTTTCTTTGTCACTCTCACTACCAGCTCCCAAATTGCCCCATTCCCCAAACACAAAGCCCTTATAAAACAGAAGCAAACGACAACCAAAGCACTGATTTGCTCAGTCTGAACCTGTACATCTCATTCTATATCTTTAGTCCATCCTCTCTCTTTCCCAAGGTGGAAAATCATTGTTGCTCTTTGGGAACTGTGAGTGGTCATTGCATCGATCACAATTTTTAAGACTCAAAATCGCATTGCAAATACCCCAACTGACTACAAAGGACCTGTGAAGGAAGACGCTATATGCATCCAGAGAAAAACTGGCAAATAGAAGTATGTAGACAATGATTTTACAGACACACACATTTGTGTCTAATGGTATCTATCTCTAGGGCTGGGGGAGGGGGAGGAAAAAAGAGAAAAAAGAAAGTTACAAAATAACTTATATATTTAATAGGAATAGAAAGTTGTACAAAGTAGATTTGCAGTTTCATGTGCAATCACCTTTTTTATTCTACTATGTTATGAAAATGCTTGTTCTATTTCACAAGTTCAAAATAAAATAAATAAAAATTACCAAAAATAAAAAAATTCATGGCTTGATTTAAAAAAAAACAAAAAACAAAAAACAAAAAAACACAAAAAAAAAAACAGGCACTGTATCATAATCCTAAAGCTGTAAGAAACCATGGAGATCATCTGGTCCAACCCCTTCATTTTACAGATGGAGAACCAAGACCCATGTCAGAAGCAGAATTTGAACCCAGTTCCTCTGACTTGAGTGGCCACACCAATGCAAGTTCTTTTTTTTTTTTTATGGGGTTACTAGACTTGCAGACTAAGGGAATACTATCTTTATTTAGACATCTGCAAAGCATGCAGCAAAGTCAGTGGAAAACACGGAGATATGAATTGGATGTTGGTATGTTTAGGTGAATTTAGAAATGGCCGAATGGCTGTACCCACAGAATAGCCATTAATGATTCCATAGAAAGGTCTCTGGGTAGAGTGTGTGCTATGGACCCAGGGTTGGCCCCATGCTATTTTAACATTTTTAGCAATGACTTGGGTACAAACAAAGATACCGTGCTCTTCAGGTTTGTAAATGACACAAATTTGGGGGAAATAGCTAACACATTGGATGACAGGATTGAAAACGATCTTGAAAGACTGGACTATTGGGCCTAATCTTGATGAAATTTATTCACACTTGGTTTTAAAACAATCAACTTTAAAAGTACAAGATGGGAAGAAGTATCCTAAAAGAAGTCTGGGAATTTTACTGGACTGCAAGTTCAATGAGTACAGATCACATGGTAACCCCAAAAGCTAATATGATCTTAGGCTGTATTGAAAAGTATAGTTTCTACACAGAAGGAAATAAGCCCCTACTATATGCTAGGCACTGTGCTATGTGCATTACAAATACCTGATTTGATTCTCACGACTGTCCTATGAGGTAGGTGCAATTATCTCCATTTTACAGATGAGTACATTGAGGCAGACAGTAACTAAGTGACTTGCCCAGGATCACACAGCTGGAAGTGTCTAAAAAGGTCTTTCTGACTCCAGGCCCAACACTCTAATCACTGCCTCTGCTGCCTCTGGAGTGCTTTGTTCATTTCTGAGAGTCACATTTTAGGAAGGACATTCTGTTTTATTAAGACTGAAGGAACTAGAAAGAAAACAATGAGAAACATGGTCAACCTAGGGGAAGATGAATTAGTCCCAAAGGCCAGAACTAGGAGCAGTGGTGGAGGTTGCAAAGGATCCAACTGAAGTGTGATGTTAGGAAAATTTTCCTTATAATCAGAGCTATCCCAAGTAGAAAGGGTCACCTTAGAGGAAGTACTGGTTTCCTCCTGACCAGAGGTTTTCACACAAAGGCCATCTTTTGGGGGATATGTAGAAGGTTGACCTACATGGCTTCAGAGATCCCTACTGACTCAGATCTGTGATCATAAGGCTTGATCCATAAAGATTAGCATACAAAAGGGATCTGAAACATAAGCAACCCTACCATATCCTAACATGTAAAAGCGAACAAAAGAAACCACTAAACCTTGTTATTTTTGAACATCTCTAAAACTGTTGCCACCACTTAAAATCAAGGCAGCTGAAAAAGCTAAATTCAAACTTTGAAAAACACAAGTACTCTGATTAGTACAATGACCAACTATGATTCCAGAGGACCAATGATGAAACATTCTGACAGGTGATGGACTCAGTATAAAACATGTATTTCTGCACATGGCCAGCATGGGAATTTATTATGCTTGTTATGAGGGTTTTGTTTTTTCATATTGTTCCAAGGAGGGGCAGATGGGAGGAAGACAAATTAGGTTTCTGTCAATTGAAAAATAAAATTTAAAGAAAAAAGTTCATTTTACAAATGCTGAGGCATTTAATGTCAAAGTCTAGCTATAATTCTCCTATGGCATTTCACGATTGCTCATTTTCCCAGAGCTACCTTCTAGTGCCCAGGTAAAACAAACAAATATTATTTCACTATTACTATCATTATCAAATCCTAGTTGTAAAAGGACCCAGACCACAAATTTATTTTGGCAAGGGGGGGGGAGGGAAAGCAACTTTAAAAAGATATTAGCATACTGTGGCCTATATTAGTCCAGAATAATTTTGAACACTAAGCATAAATGTTTTTAATAATCAAATGCTATACTGGCTTTTATAATGCAGGTTATCCTCCAGTACCTCAAGGGGCTTTGAAATCCCAACCAGCTGAAGCTCCAGGCTCAATACTGAAAAAAGGAGCTCAACTTTTAGCTCACGTAATAGAAAACTTAAGAACAACTTTGGTGATTTTGGAGGGGGAGAACAAGACATCCGTTAGTCATTAAACTTTACAGATCTAGATGCATTTCTGTCTATATAAAATAATTTGTTTTTGTTTGCAGAAGCTGAATAGCCAAATCCAACTCCACGCTGATGCTTCCAGCTCATTGCTCTGTCAAACTCCACTTGTAGATTTTGTTTTAAGGTGGCAGCAGCCTGCTTGTTCAGAGCCATGTTTGGTTTCCCAAGGGTGCCCGAGGAACTGCTGAGGGATGGGGAAGAATTCTTAAAGCCTCCCATAAGTCTGAGAAATTTCATCTTTTGGTCCGAATTTTCAAAAGTAGCTGTATCCCATTGGCCAAACTGTGTAGGCTATTTAAAGAGAAACAAAACAAAACAGAAAATCAAACAAGGTTATTTTCCTTGACTCAGAACTACAATCTTCTTTCCTTGCCTGATATCTCCAGATTCTCATGATGCTAGCCTTTGTCTGTACAGGAGGGCAACAAGGTGTCTTGAGTTTGTTGAGGAATAGGGATGATTTTGCCCTGAATCATTTATCCTGTTTTGCCTGGTCCTTGTGACTAATGACATACAATTGACATGATTAATCAAGAAATGCAGTGGTCTCTAAGCAGTGGTTTTCTGTTTCAAACTAACCTTTTTGGGGGTTGGAACTCCAACTGGTTTAGCACCAAATGAAAGAACAGGTCTTAAAACCCCTACTTGAATGCACAAAGTTTTGGGAACAGGCACTGTTCTGTTCTGGAAGGGGCTCCTTTGCCCAGAAGCAGCAAGAATCTTTGCCTTTTGAGGTGATGGTATGAGTTCTGCTCCTTTGCCCCCCCCCAAAGTGACTGATAAAAGCAAATAAAACCCCTTCTTCAAGTTTGCCAAGTTGGGACACCAACATAAACGCAACTACTTTATATCATACATGGAATGGGCAAGGTGTTTTGCAAATTTGAGCCAGATTAGCCACTACACTTCAGATCTCCCATATTATATGAGAATTTTCCCCTATAAAACCAAATGTCAGTCTCTATTCATTTCTCTGTCAGCTTGGGAAAAAATATATTTGCAGGTTGGTCAAACAGCTGCCTCAATTTAACATGGGCCACGCTTTCCTGCTGCCGAGGATTTGGGCAGCACAGATGCAAGAATAATTACAGCTTTCCAAACCCTGTAATTTCTGAAGTGAACTGCTGGCAATTATTTTGCATTCGGCTTTTAAGACAGCATTTCCAGCCTACTCTTTATAAAGAAGGTAAATTAGTCCTGTGCCTGACTTTTTCCCTCAGGGTCAATAACCCCTGAGGAAACATTACCAGAAGCCTCTCTGAATGACTTTTGAGCCACTGAGACATTTATGTCTGTGTAACCTACCTGAAGGAACGCAGCCACAGCGACTATATGCCTGCTGGCTCCTTTCCACATGATTTCTAAGACATTGCTTGTGGCTAGGCATGCTAGCAGTTTTCAGTCTGGCTACTAATAAAGCCAACCTACAGTGGTGCTAACACCAGTCCCTGCAAAAGCCAACAAAGAAGGCAGCTGATGTGGCCCTATAACTGCTGAGGACTGGGGGATGGACAAGAAGCAAAGACGGAGAGACACGAGGGATTCCAAATTCAAAGCTGAACCATTAAGGTGAGGCATTGGGGAAAAGAGCCAAACTTGGTTTCCTTCTATTCCAAGAATGTGGGTGTCATAGGTGAGGCCTATGGCAACCATAGCAATAACAGGATGCAGAAGCCACCAGGCTCCTTTGGATGTTTCCTCTCTGTTCCTGACATTTGTGGGAAATGGTTTGCCCTATGAGCAGCTCCCACCCAGTCAAAACTAGCCCTATGCTAGAGTGAGACAGCTCTCTTAAACTTTCCCTTCAGTATTTCTGGTCTTGCTAAGAAAGTTCCCATCAAAACTGTGCTTAGAAAGGTGTCAAAGCCCCAGTGGAAAGATGCCCACCCAACAGCCCCATCTTTCCCCCCTTTTTAGCACTTTTCCAGTGGCCTTTCTGATGCTCAGTAGGAAGTGACTTAGTGATCTATATTCCAAAATGTCCTGCAGTCAAAAAAAAAAAAAAGAGCCAGGTCTTTGTTGCTATCCTATCTCAGCCACCTCTCCCAGGTGGGTGCAAAGCAAATTCTACTTTTCTAAAGATATGATGGAAATTAAGTACAATTCTCACTGCTGAGGGAGCAGGGCAGTCATCTAGTGCCGTGTCTGGGGATTGGACTAATTTGTTCTACTGCATGACCTTAAATTTGCAATCCAAAAACAGACTGGTATACCAAAAGGGCAGCATGACTAGCATGCTAAAGAGAGCATGGCTGCTCTTCGAAACAATCCTACAAAAAACCAGGTCCAATTTCATACATACCGCTTCCTCTTTGGTTTCGAGAGCTTCAGTTTTTCCAGATTCTCTATCAATCTCTTCTTGCAAGGCCTTTCTTCTAATCTAAGTGAGAAAGGAAAGCAAAGCAATAGAGATAAAGAGATACCAATGTTCTAAGGGAGGTCTCAATGATTAAGGGAAGACCAAGGCTTGGGAAGGGGAGAAAAGGCAAAAACCTTCCTTAGTTTCATTACAATAAAATGATGAAGTGTGTTTCATCAGTTAATGGATACATAAAGGAGAAGAGTGGATTTTTTAATGTCTTGAGACTTTGTGATTCCCAACACAAAGCAGGAATAGTTCACAGTTGCACCTCATTTTATCAGACATCATAAAGGAATCAGCTAGTTCACATAAGTAAATTTCCCAGATAACAGAAACCTCCCTGCCTTGAGTGACAAATCTTTATTTTAACTATTTTGGATTTATTATGCAAAACATACATCCTTGCTTTCTCAAACAGAATGTTGCTTTTCTTTAATGACTCAGTGTCATCATTAAAACACTACTGAGCTGTAATGCAGAAGTTTTGATGTCCTTCCCCTTATATATAATAGCATCCTGTTTGTATTCCTGCCTTTATCATTCTTCTCTGACAAATGTGATATTTTCATTTATATTCTAAAAGTTAGTCATTCTCATATGGAGCTTTGTGATAGTTTTTTTCAGGGGCTCATATCTATTATGCTTCTCAAATGATTGGATTCAATCTGTATACCTATATTTGTACAAGTAGTCTTTCCTTATTTTTTGAGGCCAGGGACTGTTTCTGCTTTTTTCTGTATCTCGAGAGCTTAACACAATGCCTGGCATACAGTTAGCAATTAATAAAATGCTTGTAGGAGGGGATAGGAGGAAGGGAGAGAATTTGGAACTCAAAATTCAAAAAGAATACAAAAAATAACAAAATGAGAACCCCCAAATAAATAATGAATAAATGAAGCACTTGTTTAATTGACTGACAGTTGAGGTTACTAAATATTCAGATAACTGGGACATTATTATATATACAAAAAGCCTAGGCCAAAGATTCTAAACTCAGATAAACCATTGGGTTTGCAACTGTGACTGTAGGCAACCTGTCTCTAAGTCTCTCCCCTTTCAGGGCCTTGGGTCCCTATCCCATAAAGTTATGAGGCACTGAAATAGCAAAGATCGTGATCATCCTTCAATTTAAAAAAGATCAAATTCAATTAAAAAAAAAGAAGATTAACTGGAATAGACCTACCAGTCACTTCCTTCTCAGAACGGGGCAGGTTTTCCCAAACCAAGACTTTTGAAATGTGCCTTTAGAGGAGCCTCATCTATAGTAGATCTATGTATTTTCCAAGTTCTACTAGATTCCCACCCTGTCATCTGGTAAGGCAATTGTGGACTTTTGTTTTAAAGACTGTAGCACACAGTGGCAACAACGGGCACTAACTTGTAAAAGGATGGATGGCAATACAGGTTAGCAGATGCTACTGTACCGTGTCTATGGTGACTTCATCCAGGTTTCCCTTTTTTTCAGATACCACTTCCAAGTCTGATTCATGTGCCTGAATAGTAAAAGCAAAAACTCATGTGATATGTGCAAGTGTGTGTACATGGGCAAAGGTCTTCAACAGCCCAGCATTAAGAGCTGGAAAATGGCTATGGGGACAAATTCTACCTGACCTCCTTGGGGAACAAGCACAAGCACTAGCATGTTATGCCAGAAACATGTTATCTCCAAGGATCAAGATAGGGACCAATAGTGTAATGACCACATCTGAAGAAACATACGCTGTTGAAGGGAGAGCTGTCAGCGAGGCCAGGAAGCCTGGTCAGGTTCAGCACCTTGGTCCCAACATCATAGCTTATATCATATCATAATATCATAGCCCAAGGCGCAGCAGAATGCCCTGACAGCTAGGAACTAGGATAGAGGCTGACCACAAGCAGAGGTCAGGTGACCGAAAAATGTTAAGTATGTTAGAGAGCATTCCTGCTCAAGTACAGGAGAGGCAGTGTGGTATAATGGAAAGAATAATGGATTAAGGAGACCCTTGGGTTTGAATCCACTTCTGATATTTACTACCTGTGACCATGATCAAGTCATCTGAATTCTGGGACCCTCAGTTTTTCTGTAAAACTGAACTAATATTACATAGTACCCACCTCACAGAGGTATGTTGATCAAATGAGATAATGTGTGTAAAAAGCCTTGTGAACATCAAAACACACTACAATTAATAGCAGAGAAGCAGTGTGGGTAGTAAACAGAACTAATTTCAGAGTAGGAAAAGCCAGACTTCAAACATGGCCTCAGGCTCATACTGGCAGTGAATCCCAGAATAAATCACTTAATCTCTCAGTGCCCCAAGCAACTGAGATAGCAAATTAAAGAACTGCTAGAGACTAATAATGGTGAGGAGTTTCCTCATGGGAAGCTATGAAATCACAGATCCAGTCCATAAATATTTGCAGCCATTAAGACTGGACTAGCCTTTGAGGTTCTTTTGCAACTTTGAGAGTGGTGTTAAGAGGTCAAATGAGATGGGAAGTAAACATAGAACCTATGTAAACAGTTACAATAAATCAAATGGGAAATTCAGCCAAGTTGATTGGAGGATTTATTTTTAGCTCTTAAAAAGCAACCTATAAAAAATGTTGAAAATTTGGTTGATATTCCCTCTCTTGCCTACATAAAAAGCTTTCGAATAAATGGCTTACAAAACCACACCCATAAGAAGCAAGGGGAGAAACATCAATCTTCAAGCAAGTATCTGAAATCCTCTTGGTTCTAAGACTTTTTCCTCAAAAGGACTATTTATTTGGAGCTGTAGTTAGTTTCTTCCTAAGCAGCCTAGTCTCTCTCTTCTCATTTCCATTAAGAAATGTAAGGTTAGGGGCAGTTGGTGGTACAGTAGATAGAGCACTGGCCTTGGATTCAGGAGGACCTGAGTTCAAATCCAGACTCAGACACATAACACTTACTAGCTGTGTGACCCTGGGCAAGTCACTTAACCCCACTGCCTAGCCAAAAAAAAAAAAAAGAAAAGAAAAAAAAGAAATCTAAGGTTAAAGAGTTGTAAAAACTCAATTCAATAGTGGCTGGTCCTAAGCTCCTAATTCTACAAATGGAAAGGAAATCATGGTACCTCCTGGTTAATTCTTAGAAAGCCAAGACTCCCTTCCCCTTCTCCAATTATGGTTCACAAACCAACACCATACCTTTTGGTGGAGAAGCAATGGAACAGGATATATTAAGACATACATTTTCAGACATTAACATTTTAATGCACATTTACTGGCTTAACTGTATTTCTTACAAGGCTTTTATTTTGGGGGGAAGGAAAAATGTGGGCAGGATATAGTGATAGTGATATAAAAAAGAGAGAAAATGAAAATCAATAAAACATTTAATGCCAAGAAGAGGGAAGTTCAGAAAAAGAAAGAGACAAACAGGGCCATGTTATTATTACCACAATAAAATTAACATGTTAAAAAAAACAAACATCAAACTATGTAATAGATTAACAGTTTCATAATATCCTTTTTCTGGCCTCTAGATTTGTAGAAATGTTCATATTTATTATTTACTAGTTTGTAATTAAGAAATTACTTAAATAAACAAGACAACACATACCTTGACCACCCTCCATACTCAGTTTCAGTCATGTCTCCAGCCGTGGGGGAGGTGCTTGATTGCACAAAACCACTTGGAATTATAAATTTCCAACCCCACAGGGGAAACACAGCCCAGAGTAAATCCATTTTCCTTTCACTCTTCTAGTGGGATAGGAAACAGCCTATATTTTAGAACCACATGACCTCTTTACTTTCCCAGTTTGCCATCCTCCCCACCCCCCAACTGAAATCAATGATGGAGAACATGCAACTGGTGGCCTTCTCAATCACGACAGCAAATTCTAGCTCTCTCAACAGCTTTTATGATTTGGGACACATCAGACATGGCTAATGGTCAGGGGTCCAGTAGCAGGAAGGAGTTCCCATGTTCTCTTTTACTTCCCAGGGCACAGTGTAAAGACTGGACATTATCCTCTAGGCCTCAATATCTGGTCATGTCCATCATTCATTGCTCATTATCTCTCCTCCACAAGCAGCTACAGAAATCCAAATAATGAGTGCTAATCTGCTGCAGTTCTACAACATGGGCAATTTAATTAGAAAATTTATCAGGATAAAATTTTGTGCCCTTCATCCAAGGTCAAGAAAAACTCACATTAAAGGCCACACAAACTATTCAGTGTTATTTAAAAGACCAAGGGCCAATTTCCCTGTCTTTGGGGAGACTAATGGCAGTTGTCTCCTGGAGAGGAGGATGGCTCCTTAAACTACACATTATTTATGTTGCTCTTCAACCAAAGGGATTTTCCATGTTCACCTGCCCATAACACAGTCATCCTGGAAAGCAGGAAAGTGCTGAGTCATCTAGTTTCCATTTTACACTGATAAGTCAAGCTGGAGTAAAGTTAAAGGGTTGAGCTCAAGGCCACAAGACCCCATTGTTCTGACAGTCTCAAAATATCTGGCCCTTACTTAGATGTTTCTTCTGATAATGGGGAGGAAGCACTAGTGATTTCTAGTACCAAAACCCTGTATCTTCTGCTGCAAAGTGGGGAGAGGGGTGTCTATGTCTATTACTCACTTGGGCACATATGTGTATCCAGTCACATCCTCCTCTGCTCCAAAATCTTCAGCGGCCACTAATGCCTACCAAGAAGGTCCAAGCTCCCTTGTCTGGCATTGAGGACCCCCGCAATTGGGCACCATTATCTTTCTGGTCTTATGTCATGTCGCTCCCTTCCATCTGTGTCATGTTTCAGCCAACCTGGAGTATTTTCTGTCCCAACCCCCTGAAAATCCCGTTACTTCCTCCCCAGAAGGGCTTTCCTGGTGTTGTTCCCTGTGCCTGAGCAGTGTTCTGCACTCTCCACCACCATCTCCTCTAAAATCCAAATCAAATGGTTCTTCTACGATAGTGACCCACAAGCCTACAGAGATCACTTAGCACAACCTTTTCATTTTATATCCAAGGAAACCGAGTCTCAGACTTCCGTAGCAGAAATGAACACAAACTTAGGTCCTCCAACTCCAAATCCATCTCTCTTTCCAGGATACCACATTGCCTCCCACTGTGGTGACCTCCCAAGGATTGACTAGTAAACCCCTAGTGCATTTACTATGTATTGTGGATTTCAGTTATCTTTATTTGCATCTGACCTCACTACCAGGCTGTAAGCTCCATGAGGGCAGGGACTGTCTTACCTAAACTTTGCAACATCTCCCCTAACATTTAGCACAATGCCCTGCATCAAGGTGGCACTTAAGTGAAAGGTCGGGGGGGGGGGAATTCAGGTGGATTGGCAAGGTTGAATCCACAACTTTTCCTCCTGAACTACTGGAGGTTTCTTACTAGAAACAAGAAACAAACACACATATCCTGCCTCAGATATTTTTCTCTTGTTCCCTACAAGCTTTCGCTCCTTTAAATATGATTACCATGATAATTTTGTAAATTATATCTAATACTCCTGTATGTTCATAAACAGTGTCCTCAGAACCACAAAGGAATCAACTAAGAGTGTTGATTATATTGCATTTCCCACTCCTCACCTTCTGACATTGAGAGAAAAAAAGAGACTAAAAATTTCCCCCTTTCTCACCTACAGATTCTAAATTTCCAAAAGTGTACATTTCTACTGGGCCCAGAAGGAATTCCTAGGAACATCTTCCTAGTGGTTAAGCCTGGATGCACTTGGTCCTCTATCACATTGGTATTAAACTCAAAACAGAAATAGGGTCTTCTACATAAGGAACATATACTATGTTTGATGGTTGGCCACATATTTGCCATCTCTGCTCTTTACCATTTATTTCCTCAAAAAATTCTGCCTATATATCAGAAGGGTGAGCTTTGATTTAAACCCAGGAGCCCTGTGTTCTAATTTTGGCCCTGCTATGTATGGATGTTGGAAAGCTTGCTGACACTTCAGCTACTTCACTTTCTCTTCCCCATCCATGAAATAGGCTTATCCTTCCCTTGCTTAACTACAGGAAAGTTTTGTATTTGGGCCTCTCAGAACTTCTGATGCTTTTGTGTAACAGTGAGCCTTTTCTTTGTGGACAAAAAATGTTTTACAAAAGCTAAGAAACCGATAAGGGTCATAGGAATCTCACGGTAATTCCCCTGACCAAGGAGGCCAGCAGGTATTGGGCATATAGGGACAGTGGCCTCCTTCTGTGTTTGCTTTTGGGAGCCAGATGGCAGTTCTGGCACAACTGGCCCAGTGGCTGAGGTTGACAAGGAGGGAAGAAGTTCCTGAGTAGTTTCCAATGGAAGATAGAAAAAGATCAAGTCTCATAATTCTGGAAACAAAGCCGAAGGGGAACATGACTGAGGACCACAAAATTAATCACAAAGGTCTGTGCACCTAAACTGTGAACAACAGGACATCTTCCTCCATACCCTATGCCTGCCCTGAAGCAGAAAGTATTGGGACAAATAAAGGGACACAAATTAACAGAACTTTTAAAGTTGAAAGGGGCCTCAGAGGTCCAAATTTGGTTTAACTACCAATTACATTTTCTATCATGAGTCCCAAAGAGTTGAAGTATTTTGACCAAGTGATCCTCAACATAGGAAAAAAAAAAAAACAAAACAATACATTCCAGGCTGAGAAAGCCAATAGTGGCAAAAAAGATCAACTCCTGGAAGAATATGCCAAGAGGGGTCCCTCAACAGAAGCTCCAGAACTCTAAAGATGAAGCCATCAAGGGAAACCCATGTTCTTCTCTGAACCACTGACCCCTAGTGCCCATAGGGTCAGCCCAATCAGGGGCAAATCTTGCATCCTCTGGGGAATGGGGGTACGTGCATCCATGTGTGTGTGCGGGTGTGCGTGTGTTTTCTCCAGTGCAAGAGCACACAGGTGTCTCTATGGGCCCTTATCCTTTCTGTAGACAACAAAGGCTTGGACTCTGTTGGGACATAGGCCAAGAACCTTATCATGCCCACGCTGAGTCAGCTTCTGGGAAAGACTTACCATGCCTGGGCCTTGAAGGTCCTGCATCACTTTCCTACCTTCTGTCATCTTCTTCTTCTGAGCAGGTTCCTCAGCAAATGGTGGCTCTATCTGTGTCTTTGATTTTTTTTCTTTCTTTTTGATGTTCCCGGGGCTGTCTCCCAGGGGGACACTTTCTGCCAATTCGGCCTTGGGCTGCTTCTTTTTGTGGTCTTTCTTTCTGCAACTGCCGAAGGCACAGGGGTTCTCTATGTGCCCCTCATCAATGGGCATTTTGTCAGTTCTACAGTCCTCCTCATCTTCCTTCTCCTCTTCCCTGTAAGTCTTCTTCTTTTTTTTCTTCTTCTTCTTGGTGCCAGAGTCCCTGAGACTGCTGGGATCCTGTTTCTCCTCTCCCTGTTCCTGTTCTATGGGCTCACACTCCTTTTCTTTCTCCTCCTCCTCCTCCTCCTCCGTCATGGGGTCAGGAAGGGCCTCCTTGGGCTCCTGCTCCCCAAAGCTTTCCTGATCTGACTTTTTATCCTTTTTCCGCTTTTTTGGTTTTCTGACAAGGCCCCCTTCCAGTTCCGCATCCACCAATGTCTCTGCTCCTGGGGGATGAGAGAGGAATGATTTTGTTTTCTTTCTTTTTCCCTGACATGGGGACTGTGGTGGATTTGGAAGCAGCTCCTTCCTGCTATGATGCTTCTTCAGAGAGTTGGTTCTGCCCATGCTCTCTGCCTCTATGCTATCCTCATGGAGGGCTCTGTCTGGGCTCTCAGCTTCTTGAGTTTTCTTCTTCTTTTTCTTCTTCTTTTTCAGCAGGGGCATCTCTGGAACCATGCCTGGGGGTGCCACACTCTTCTGAGATGGCTTTGTTTTAACAAGGGGTTCCACATTCAAGGCATCCTCTTCCACTGCCCTTGCCTTTTTCTTCTTTTTCTTCTTCTCTTTCTTCTCTCTTGTTTCCTTGCCAAAGTCCAATTTTTCTGCCTTGGCAATCATTGCTGAAAAAGAAAATCATGCAAGTTACTTCACAACATGGTCTTTCCATAGCATTTTTATGTATGTCAGTAAATGATGATGGTTCTCTGATGTGTTACTAGATTGTTGAGGAAAAGGAAGGAAGATTACTTTCTGTGTCTATGTATACACACACGTCACAAACACAGAATACACAAGAGTGGGAACGTGAAATAATCTAAAGAGAACCAGCAGGGGAGGTAGGAAAACCTAGGTTTAAGCGTTCTGCCCCTCACACATTCTGGAAGAGTAACTCAAAGGAGGTCTGTGAACTCAGTGCCCTTGGACAACTAAGATTCTAAGTTGGGGAGTATTTCCTGATTTGCATTAAAAGAAAGGGTTTCCTCATCCATGAGTTCTCTACAACAATGAAATCACAGGCCAGGAAAAAAATACACAAACACAACAAAAAAATTCTATGTTATTCTTGAATAATACTATGGTACCAAATTTTCAAGCCCTGAACATTGCTATTTTACCTACAAGTCAGAAACCCGCCTACCTACTAGTATCAGGGACACTAAGAAAATTACTACAGACCAACCAACCAATGGAGAGAATGCAGACCAGGGGTGTTAAACTTAGATAGAATAAGCACATGGAAAACCATAAATTAAGATGATCTATGTTGTACTGTATTGTATTTTGATTTATTTTGTTAAACATTTCCCAATTTTATTCTCATCGGTTCAGGTTGCAGTTGATTGCTCTACCCCTAGAGTCTGACAGCACTGGTACAATCTACAACAAAGTCTGACTTTACTATCTTTATTGTATGCCTTTAGAATGCATTATATGCCATCCTCCTTATCCTGCCTTTTAAACTTCTAATTTATATTTGATCTGGCTGTTCCATGAACAAGACACTCCACATTTAGGCTCTGGGCATCTTTCTGGTAGTATCCCATGCATAGAAGGTTTTCTCTCCATATCTCTGCCTACCAGCTTTCTTCAAGTCCCAGATAAAACCTCTTCTTTTAGGGGTGGCTAGGTGGGATAGTGAATAGAGCACCAGCCCTGGAGTCAAGAGGACCCGAGTTCAAATCTGACCTCGGACACTTGACACTTACTAGCTGTGTGACCCTGGGCAAGTCACTTAACCCCAATTGCCTACTCCGCCCCACCAAAAAAATCCCTTCTTTTACAGGAAGCCTTTCCCAACCCCTTTTAATTCTAGTGCTTCACCCTGTTAATTATTTCCTGTTTGCTTTGTATAACAGGCTGTTTGTACTTAGTTGTCTGCTTGTGGACTACCCCAGACTGTGAGCTCCTTAGGGCAAGGACTGTCTTTTGCCTCTTTTTGTATCCCCAGCACTTAGCACAGTGCCTGACACATAGCAGGCACTTAATAAATGCTTACTGATTACTGGCTAGTTTTGAAGAAACAGCATGGTATACTGGGAGCCAGCAAACCAAGGTCCAGATGTGCTACTAACTAGCTGGACAAATAATTTCATCTTTGTGATCCTTAGTTTCTTCTTCTGTAAAATGAGAGGCTGTATCTTTCAATATCAAACCAATACCTATGCATACATGAAGTGCAAATTGGTCTCCATCCTGTGGAAAAAGTGAATAGCATGAAGGCATTCATCTCTATTCTCCCAAGTTATTAGGAAGAATGAAGTGTTGCTTGAAAGAAGTATTTTAAAGAAGTTCAAGAAAGAAAAGGAAGTGAAGAAACAGAAAGGAATTCTAATTTAAATTAGGAGGGAGAATGAAGAGAAGTGGGTCTTTTAAGGGATGGTTAAAAAAAATAAATAAAAACTCTATTATCTCTCCCAAGTCTTTTCTTCTCCAAGCTACACAGCCCCATTTCCTGGAAGGGTCTTTATAAGGAATGGAGCCCAAACCCCATACTATTACAACTGTCTTCCTCTCAACACGTTCTAGCTTATTAAGGTCTAGATCATGGACTGAGAAAGCCTAAGACATTTCTAAGGCATCCTCTGAGGGGGCCTGGCACCTGTGATGAATGACTGATTTAAAAAAAAAAAAAGTAGGGGATAACTGGAAGAATGATACCTGCACTTCAGTGAGCAGCTCCCTCTAGAGTGTAGTTAATAGTTATCTCATTCACATGTTCCTTTAACACCTGCTTCTAGGCTGGTCTTAGCCAGGGAAAGAGTATAACAGGAAGAAAACTGGGCTGGGAATCAGACTTGGGTTCTCCTTTGATCTCTGTGACTAATAATGAATTATTTTACTTTGGGAAAGACCCTTCACTCCTCAGCCTCAGTTTCATTTGTAAAATTAGTTGGACCAGATAATTATTATATTTAATTACAATTATTATATTCCTTTCACCTCAGGAATTTTCTAATTCTGTGACTGGAGGATACCAGAAGGTCGGGTATACATAATTGTTTCTAGAAGGTACACAGCTGAGGTTTTTAACTGGAAGTTCATGATCTTGGTATTTTAAAATAAATTTTTTGACAACTCTATCTCAATATAATTGATTTCCTTTGTAATTCTTTGCATTTCCTTTGTATTTTATTTTCTACACTTAAAAATATTTTTGAAAAAGAATGCCAAAGGAGTTCATGACCAAAAGCATAATAAGAATTCCTGGCTCTAGGGCCAGGTGGCACTTAATAAAGGCTTCTGATAATAAGCAGTGGGTACAGCAAGACAAAACGACTGCACAAAAGGACTGGAATTTTTGGCTTCGCCCGTGACCTTCTTATTTCTCAAACCCTAGTATTTTCTTTTTTTAATAGTTTACTTTTTTGAACTTAGCATTTTAAAAAATTTAACCTGTTCCTCCTCAATGTGCAAATTAATAAAAACTAAAAAAATAAAGCCTCCAATACATAGCTGCATAGATTGGCAAGACAAAGTCCCACATTAACCATGTCCAAAAGTGTATATCTCTTTCTGTAACACCTCTCTGTCAGGAGATGAATGGCACATTTTAGACTCACTGCCTCCAAAATTTTCAAACATCATTACAATCAATAACAACCAAAAAAGCATTTTCACTGCATTCTAGAGCTAAATGAGTCAGATGGACATGTACAATTATTGTCTCCAGCCCAGCTGGCTGACATCTAATCCAGAATGGATAGTAACAAACTCAAACAATTAATAAGCAAACAAGACAGAGCTGCCAATAGCCTGGCTCCAGTGCGAGTAGGCTTCTTGTAGGAGATGATGTCAATGCAATTCAAAAAACATTTATCAAGTGCTCACTATATGCAAAGCATTGTGCCAGGCTTGGGGGATACAACAGGTACACAGGTAAGTCAACAGACAATAATTATAGGCCAAAATGAATTAGCAATAGGAACAGCTAGGTGGCACAGTGGACAGAAGGCAGGACCTAGAGTCAGGAAGATCTGAGTTCAAATCTAGCCTTAGATATTCAGTAGCTGTGTGACCCTGGGAAAGTCACTTGACTGCTGCTTGACTCAGTTTCCTTATCTGTAAAATAGAGATAATAATAGCATCTACCTCACAGTGTTGCTATGAGGATTAAATGAGATAATATTTGTGAAGTGCTTTGCCAACCTTAAAGTAGTATATAAATGCTAGTTATTTTTATTAAATCAGCAAAAACTTATGCAGAGATTTCCAATATAATTTCCTTGGAGAAATTACTATGGGGAGTCTTCTGCTAAAAAAACTGGCTGAAAGAGAGGCAGCCCAAGCTCCTACATACCTTCTCCAGCAAAATCCTAAAGTTTGTTTCAGACTCACTAATGATCAAGAAATACCACAAGAAATTGCATTAAATATTTCTTTTACTACAGAACTAGAATAAAGGTCATCCAGAAGTCTATGGACAATAAAAAAGAGTGTCTGTCCAAGAAAGCTAGTGTTAGTACATTCAGAGATGAGAAACATAGCTTGCAAAATTCTCTGTCCAGAGATAGCAAAAGTGAACCGCCAAAGTGGATACTTTGGAAGCCCCTGGAAATAGCAACCAACTAGCATGTCACGGACCAGTACCACTCAGACCCAGGGGATCTGAGATATCTAACACATGGTCTTGTGATGCAACAGAGGGTCCTGAAGATCAAGCATTCTAAACATCTAAGTGGGGGAGAGTTGAAGGTCAGCACAAGAACACCCCACCTAGAAGCAAAGCAAGGAGCCAAGCTTAGCCCTAGCACAAAGCTCCAATTCAGGAACTAAAACTGTCAACAAGTAAGTCAAAGAAAACACTGACCTGTATAAAAAGGTACTGCAAATCTAACTCCATGACAGTGTCAAGCAGAGACTCAAAAGAAAAAAACGGATTTTCTACAAAGACTATGTTTATACCTAGAAGAAATGAAGCAAGAGTTTAAAAAAGAAAGAAGAAAAGAAATGCCCTGAAGGGCAGAAATGGAAGGAGATGAGCAATTTCTGAGAAAGTAGTAAAACTTTCCCAAGAAATATACTCTCCGAAAACTCAAATAGACTAAGCAGAAATCAATGACTCTATGAGACAGCAAGAAATATTAGAACAAAATTGAAAGATTAAACAAACAGAAGATATCTGATATCAAAAACAGCTGACCTGGAAAAGAGGTCACAGAGAGATGATTTAAGAATTACTGGACAGGCCCAAACACTATCTTAAAAAAAAATTCTTTGTAACCAGTTATTATCTGTCTCTCCTACTTTCTCCTCACCCTATTCAAGAATTACAAAATAAAATCCTCATAATAAACATGCAAAGTTCAGCAAAAAAAAAAAAATTCTAACACTCGCCATGCCTAAAGATATATTTATCTTTTGAATTTTAATTCTATTGCCATTCTGGTAGAAGACTGATGGTGTGCTTTGTTCATATTCAGTTCTCTGGAATTACACTTTATTATTGTATTGATCAGAGATTTAAAGTCTTTCAACAAAATTGTTTCTGTTTATAATATAGTTGTCATTAAACTATTCTCTTAGTTTCATTCAATTCACTTTGCATCAGCTCATATAGACTCTAAAACTGTCCATTTTCATCATTTCTTAAGGTGTAATGATATTATATTACATTCCTATAGCACAATTTCTTTATTCATTCTCTAATAGGTGGGCAACCCCATCATGTGCAGTTATTTTTTATTAGTACAAAAAGAGCCGCTATAAATATTTTTGTACATATTGGTCCTTTTCCTTTTTTTTGATATCTTTGGAATATAGGGCTACTAGTGATTTTCTGAGTCAAAATGTATGGACAGTTTAATGACTAATGAAGCATGGCTCCAAATTACTTTCCAGGATGTCTGGACCAATTCACAGTTCCATCGATAGTGCATCAGGTTTCATACACACCCCAAACATTTGTCATTTTCCTATTATCATCTTTGTTAATCTGACAGGTGTGAGGTAGAGCCTCAGAGATACTATAATTTGCACTGCTCTAATTATCAGCGACTTGGAGTATTTTTTTATGATTGTTGACAGCCTTCCTTTAAAAATAGCTTGTTCATGTCCTTTCATCATTTATCAATTGAGGAATGATTCTTAGTCTTATAAATCTGAATTTGTTCCTTATATACTTTGGATGTAAGATCTTTATCAGAGAGGTTTACTGCAAATATTTTTTCCCAGTTACCTATTTACCTTCTAATTTTAAGTTAGTATTAGTATTTGTGCAAATTTTCTGTAATCAAAATTGTCCTTTTTATCTTCTGTGATCTTTTCTAACCTTTGGTCATGAAATCTTCTCCTATCTATAGATTTGAAAGGTAAGTTCTTCCTTGCTCTTCCAATGTGCTTATGACATCACATTTTATGTTTAAGTCACATAACCATTTGAAATTTACCTTAGTATATGGTATGAAGTACTATGTTTCAAGAAATCACAAATGAAAACTGCCCAGTTCTATTAGAACCAGAGGGCAAAGACAGAAAGAATCTACCAATCATCTCCTGAAAGGAATATCAAAAGGCAAAGCAACAAGAATGTCACAGTAAAATCCAGAGTTTTCACATCAAAGAAAAAAAATGCCTCAGGTACCCAGAAAGAAGTAATTCAAATTCCAAGAAACTAGAGTCAGGATCACACAAGACCTGGAAATTTCTATTAAAACCCAGATATCTTAGAATACAATATTCCAAAAGGTAAAAGCTAGGCTTACAACCAAAAATAATTTACCTTAAGAAAATGTACCTTCAAATGGAATAGAGACTTTTCAGCACTCCTGATGAAAAAAAAAAGAGCAGAGTAGGATTCTGATATACAATCCGGCAGAATTTACATAGCATTTTGCAAAATGCTTTACAAATTTTATCTCATTTTATTCTCACAACTACCCTGGGAGGTGCTATTATTATCCCCATTTTATAGATGAGGTAATTGAGATATAGATTAAGTGAAGGTCCAGGGTCAGCTACAAAGTGTCTAAGGCCAAATTTGAACTCTTCTTCTTCACTCCAGGCCCAGTGCTCTATACAATATGACACCTACCTAGCTGACTCTAAAACAAACACAAGAGCCCAGAAAAATCTACCGGTGAATTTATCTGAGCAACTAGAAGGGGCTCATGATGATGTACTGTTAACATTTTAATAGGGAGAGAAGAAACAAGCATACCTTCAGAACCTTAATGTCCTCAAAGGGCAATGAGGGAGTTAAATGATCTAGGTGGGGTGGACTGTTTCCTTATGTGAAATGGAAGGAAACAGATACCCAGGGAGGGAGCATCTGGACCACCTGGCAACTAACTTGATATGGCTAGTAAGAGAGACAGGAGTGAAGGATGACTCCACTATTGCAACTTGGTCTACAGCTGTTCCTCTCTAAGCTTCTGCAGTCTGTCTCCCTTGCCTGGGATGTGCTTCCTTCTTGATTGAAATTCCTAGCTCCCTTGCAAGGATCAAATCAAGTGCTATTCGTTCAAAAGTCCCTTCCTGATTCTCTCAGCTGTTAGCCTCTCCCCTCCCCTTCTCTATTATTTTTTTGGACTGGGAATAGCTGTGAACATGATGTTTTACTGTCTCACTTTTCTATCTGTACCCCTTAGCATAGTGCCTGCCATAGAACAGACTTAACAAATGTTGTTTAATTGAAGAGAAAAGAAAAAAAAAGCTCAGCAGTACCTTGGGGAACACCAACTCTTAATAAAGCAGAATCAGATTGTGAGGTCTTTGAGAGTAGTGACTGTCTTTTGATCCCCAGCTGCTTAAGACATGTTTATTGACTGATTAAGAATAACCAAAAGATAGGTCAGAAAATCCATGAGGCAGTCACAAATGCTGCAGAGATTCAAATACTATAGGTTTTTCCTTTTTTCCCACAAATCGTTCCCCATGCCTGGAATGCATGCACTGTCTTCTCGAATCACTACCTTCAATGCTTATTTCAAGAGTCAGTTCCAACACGAGTTCCTTCCTGATCCCTCAGATGCCACCTTATTTATTTAAAAATATTTTCCTTTTATATATTCTTACATCTGTACTGAGTTGTGGCACTCCTCTCCCCCCTACACAACCTGTCTGATGGCAGATTTCAGTTTTTTGGTCTTTGGTTTTTTGGGGTTTTTTTTTGCCTCAAGACCTAAAACATAGTATCTGTTTAATAAATTTTCATTGACTTATCATTGATTTAGACCAGACCGACACAATCTGTAAAATTGGCCAAAATTAAAACAGTTGCTAAGCTTCTTTGGCTGCAGAAAGGTTAGACTAGAGACAGACTGACAATGGTTGGGTGCCATGGGGTCATGTGACAAACTGGAGGGAATGAACAGTGGCAACTCTATATTTTTCTGTTCATCTATGTTGTGCAGGCCCGAGTTGGACCTTGAAGGGGTCCTGGTCCAACCTGCTCATTTTACAGATTTGGAAACTGAGGGCCAGAGAGTTTAAGTGACTTTCCCAAGGTCCCATGGATACTAAGCAGAAGAGTTGGAGTATAGGCCTTTTCCCCCACTGCACCATAAATGCTTAATAAATACTTCTTGCATTAATGGATTTAGTGGTTAGGCTAGCGTTGGCGATCTCGGGGAGCAGTCTCAGGGGAGTTGTGGGGTCAGAAGCCAGCCAACAAGGGTTGAGAAGTGAGGAAATCCAGGAAGAGAGGTGGACAACCCTTTATAAGGAGTTTGGCTGTGAAAGGGGGAAGACACAGGACTGCGGCTTGGGGGGACCGCAGGACGGTTGCTAGATTAGGGCGCAAAAAAGGGCTAAATCAGATGCTCCCTATTCCCCCCACCTTCTTTCTATATCCTGTAGTCTCTTCTCCCCCTTCCTTTCTCCCACGCTCACCTCACATCACCATTCTCCGTGCTCCACGTGTGTACCAACTCTTAAGTGCCCCGGAAATAAAAGCCTCCCCCTCTGAAATGGCCTACTAGACACGGATTCTTCCGGGTCACGGGACTTGGCGCTGGGTCGTTGCTTGGTAACCGCGTCCATGGCCGGGAAGACTGGCCGCAAAGCCCCGGCTCCCCAGCCGGTGGTGGAAGTCGCGCAAACTCTGGAGGGGGAAGCGGCGGGATCTGGCGTGACCATCGCGGAGACGGGGTCTCCTCAGTCTACCTTGTCTACAATCTCTCCACTGTCTCCGTCGTCTCCGGCAGTCGGGCCGTCGGCCGCCGTCTCGGCCGCGGCCACAGGGGTTAGTGAGACGCCCGAAGGCTCCAAGACTGCACCAGAGCCGGAGAAGAATCTCTGGGAGCAGATCTGCGAGGGTAGGGGCCTGAAGGAGGAAGGGGCGGAGCCATTCTGAGGGGGTGGGGCCACTGGGTGGAGGCGGGGCTCGCTCGCGGAGGAGCCGGGCCGCGGGCGGAGTTTGCATCTGCCTGAGTCCCGCTGGTCACCGGACAGGGAACACTGACTTTGGAATGAAAGGCCCAGGGTTCGAATTTCGGTTTTGCCTCTGAGTCACTTGACTACTCCGGGTCTCAGTTTCCTCATTTGTAAAACGAAGGGGTTGGACTAAATGGCTTCTTAAAGGTCCCTTCCTGATCAAACTCTGTGCCCAGGCACCAAGTAAGTGCTAAGTTACTTAGATGCTCAGTACTGGGGATACCAAGAAAGGTTAAACTTGGTCCCTTGCCCCCAAGGAGCTTACACTCTTATGGGGGAGACCACCTGCAAATAACTATGTACATACAAGATACATACAGTGTAAAGGGGGGTAATCTGTGAAGGAGGCCACTGACTGTGATGGAGACTTGCAATCAGTGAATCATGAAAATGTGATTGAGTGAATGTATTTATATGTGTGTGTGTACTTACAAATGTATGAATGAATGAAAAAGCATGTGCTAAAAGGTTTCTGTGTGCAAAGCACAGTGCTAAGTGCTGAGGATACAAATGGGAAAGCTAGATAACCCCCCCCCCCCACCGAAGGTGTAGGAAGGACTAGGATTTATTAAACACCTACTGTGTAGTAGGGCCTGAAAATGCAAAGACAAAAAAAAATCACCTTTGCCTTCCAAGAACGTCCTTAAGTCTTGGGGGAGATTGGGAGGGGAAAGGGAATGAGAAATACTTAGACCCCTATGAGTTAGAAAGAAACTTAGAAGCCATCTAGTCTAACTTCCTTATTTTATATATAAGGAACTAAAGCCTAGAGAGTTGAGTGACTAACCCAAGAGCACACAGGTAGTGTAGTAAGTGGCAGAGTTGGGATTTGAGTATATCATTGGACTCCAAATCCAGGACTCTTTGCACTGTATCACATTTGATTCTGGAGGAAAACTCAAAGTTCTTAGGCACATAGGTCATGTTGGGATCAAAGATCTCATGGATTACCTTCATTTAATGCATTGCCTTTACTGTTGTTGTCATTTTTAAGGTCCATATCTATGATTTCATTTGAGTTGGAAACCCCTGTGTGGAAACTCTTTCCACTGATGTAGAGAGGCAGCTCATCTCCCCTCCCCTCCCCTCCCCTCACTCCTCTCTGTCTCTCTGTCTCTCTCTGTCTCTCTCTGTCTCTCCCTTTCCTCCCTTTCTCTCCCTCTCTGCCCCTCCTTCTTCTGCTCTTTCTCTTCCTTCTCTCCCCATTCTCTCCCTCTCCAATTTCTCTCCCTCTCTCTTCCCTTCTAGTGATGGGTGGAAGAATAGTCCCTTCCAAAAACTTAGCAAAAGTGGCACCTTTTTGTATGTTATGGCTGCTAGAGCAGGGGCTTATTTATCCAGGTGCATTCTCAGACCTCTGGTTGCCTTTTCTGCTCTGCATTTCTTTCCTTGAGCATAGGAGCTTGAATAGATCCTTTGAAATGGACTTTTTGGGAGTGGCTTCTATGGGAGCTTCTGGGTTCTTTAGTCAGTGTTGACTGCACTCTGGAGGTACCTCTATGTATACTAAAGAACATCTATGAGGAGAAGATGACCATCAGCAGGAGGTGGTGTTAGAAATGTGGACTTTGAGGGAGCTATTCAAATAAGGCAGAAACCCTGTATCAATGATGGGGAAGGAGTATGGCACCTTATGGCACACAGTGGACAGTATTGTCCTGAGCAAAGTTGTCTCTTCTGGGCCCCAGCAGAGTGGGCCACATCTTGGGCCCCAATAGAAGACTTGAGTTCAAATCTGGCCTCAGAGCTGTGTGATTCTAGGCAAGTCACTTAAACCTATTTGCCTCAGTTTCCTCATGTGTAAAATGTGCCAGAGAAAGAAATGGCAAACCACTCCAGTATCTTCGCCAAGAACACCCCAAATGGGGTCTTAAAGAGTTGGACATGAATGAAACGACTGAACATCCATAACTAGCATAACTACCCAGCCCTAGAGGAAGAAGGTAACAATCCCATAGGATATCCCTCTACAGGAGCAAAAATACGGTTATCAATCCCCCTCACCACCACCATTGGGTTGTCAGGGCAAGAGAGGTTCTGGATAGTGGGTCAGGGAACACTGAATGGATGTAAATCTCAGAACTGACCCTGGCTGTAGGACCCTGCTTCCATGTGAAAGGCTAATGACCTGTTAGCTAGTTTACTACAAATGAACCTAATCTGTGATGACAATTGATGCCTATGCCAGAATATCAACATTTTCACTGTGGCCCTGATGCTTCTGGTGCCACTTCTACTAATAATCACTATTTTACGTCAGGAGACCCACTTTGAACTGTAGCATCAAATACCAAAAAGATCAGATTAAGATCTGGAACTCATCCTTTCTTTTTTTGTTATTATTAATTTATTTATTTTTAGTTTTCAACAATCACTTCCATAAGCTTTTGAGTTTTAAATTTTCTCTACCTCTCTTTCCTCCCCCCTCCCCGAGATGGTATTCAGTCTGATATAGGCTCTACATATACATTCTTATTAAACATATTTTCATATTAGTCATATTGTAAAGAAGAATTAGAACCAATAGGAGGAACCACAAGAAAGAAGAAACAAAACAAAACAGAATAAAAAAAAGAGCAAATAGTATGCTTTAATCTGCATTCAAACTCCATAGTTCTTTCTCTGGATGTGGATAGCATTTTCCATCATGAGACTTTTGGAGATGTCTTAGATCCTTGCATTGCTGAGAAGAGCTAAGTCTATCAAAGTTAGTCACCGCACAAAGTGGTTGTTACTGTGTAGAATGTTCTTCTGGTTCTGTTCACACTTCACTCAGCAGCAGTCCATGCAAGTCTTTCCAGGTTTTTCTGAAGTCTGCCTGCTCATCGTTTCTTATAGCACAATAGCACAATACATTTATATACCACAACTTGTTCAGCCATTCCCCAATTGATGGGCATCCCCTTAATTTCCATTTCTTGGCCACCACAAAAAGAATTGCTGTAAATATTTTTGTACATGTGTGTCCTTTTCCCCTTCTTTTGAAATTCTTTATTTCTGCAAAGAGTACCATCATCCTTTCAATCTCCCAGGTTCACAACCTTGGCATCATTATTGACTCTTCTCTCTCTCCCTACATATGCAATCAATTGACATATTTTGCCATTTCTATAATCATAGCATTTCTCTTATTGAACCCTTCTTTCTATTAATATAGCAACCATCCTAATTTAGGGACTTAGCATTTTCCACCTAGACTATAGCAGTAGCTTCCTTGCCTTCCCTCCCCAATCTGTCTTCCATATAGCTGCCAAAATGATTTTCCTAATGTACAGGTATGACTATGACATCCTTCTACTCAGTAAACTCCAGTGACTTCTTATTGCTTCTAGGATCAAATATAAACTCTTCTTTTTAGTTTTTAAAGCCCTCCATAGCCTGGCCCCAATCTATCTGTCCAAGCTCATTGCACATTAACCCCTTTTCAAGTACTCTACAAAACAGATAACTGACCTTCTTGCTGTTCCTCACATATAACATTCTATTTCCTGTGCCTGGAATGCACGTTCTCCTTCCTTCTGCCTCTTGGAATCATTTGTGTCATTTCAAACTCATCTCTGATGCCCCTTTCTACATGCAGCTTTTTCTGATTCCCTATCTCCTGTCCCTTAACTTTGAGACCTCCTTCCAACAGTTGCCTTCAATATATTTTTATTTATCCTGTATGTACTTCATATATGTACATGTTATCTTCCCTGAGAAAATGTAAGCTCCTAAGGACAGGGACTGTTTCAGTTTTGTCTTTGTATCCCAGTGCCTAGCACAGTGCCTGGTACTTAGTCTACATTTAATTAATTTGTATTGATTGATCGATATTTTCTCCAGTACTATATACTTTAGTAGACATTAATGAGCCAGAGGGTAATTTTTTTTGTTTTATTTGTTTGTTTTGGTCCAAATGAGTAGTTTTAATGATATAGTGAATTCTAGGTGAGAAAATGTCTGTTAATGCAGATCAGCTGTTCCACTTAGAGAGTAGCCTTGGACACTGAGAGGTGGTGACTTGCAGAATCACAAAAGTAATATGTGTTGGAAGGAGGATTTGAATTCAAGTCTTTCTAATTCCAAGGCCAATTCTCAATACTCTTTTATTTTTCTATGAAACTGTGATTCCATCTTAGAAGCTGGAACATGTGTTGTATTCATGGCTTGGTATGAGTTATCCTGTTGTTAAGCCTGAGTTATTTAAAGTTGAACTGTTTATATTCCTACTTGTAAAGATGATATTTGTAACTCATGAGACTTTCTCAGTATTAGGGTAGTTGGAGGGAATATATGTATATAGACAGAGGGCACAGGGTAGTCTGTTCTTCAGAGTTTTCTTGGATCATTGTATTGCTAAGAATAGCTAAGTCATTCACAGCTGATCATCTTACAATATTCCTGTTGCTTTGCATACTTTGCATCAGCTCTTGTAAGTCTTTCCAGGTTTTTATGAGAGCATTCTGCTCATCATTTCTTATAGCACAATAGTATTCCATCATAATCACACACCACAATTTGTTCAGCCATTCCCCAATTGATGAGCATCCCTTCGATTTCCAATCCTCTGCCAACAGAAAAGAGCTGCTATAAATCTTTTTGTACATATAGGTCCTTTTCCTTTTTGATTTTTATCTCTTTTGGGATACACATCCAGTATCGGTATTGCTAGGTCAAAGGACATACATGGTTTTAATAGCCCTTTAGTTATAGTTCCAAATTGCTCTACAGAATGGCTGAATCAGTTCACAACTCCACCAATAGTGCACCAGCGTCTCATTTTTCCTACATCCCCTCCAACATTTGTCATAAGAAAATAATTTCTTTTTTTAAATTAATTTATTTTGAATTATCAACAATCACTTCCATAAGCTTCTGAGCTTCAAATTTTTCTCCCTCT